CAGCAAGTCAATGAAACGCAATGGCAACCACTAAATGCTTTCTTCCATTGAGGAAAGAAACCCTGATCAGCATTGGCCCCTAAAGAGCCAAAGGGAGTTAGTTAAGTGTTTGGGAGACAGTCTCAGAGCAACAGCACACATTAGTTCTGTGTGTGACCAGGTGCAGACACAAAGCATCCAACAATCCAACAACAAGTAAGAGACCTGCAAGCTCGGGAGTCAGTACTGATTGACGCACCTTGTCAAAATTGAAGATGAAGATAGCATTCGGCGTGTGATCGGAAGCATGATGGCCGCCAGAAACCCTTTCCCCAAAGGCATAATAATACAAGCGATCAAACGTCCTCTCCAAAGCTTCCGCCGGGACATCATACATGTCGACAGTTGCTTCAGTGTGCTTCGGTTTGAACGGCTGAAACACAGAAGACAGCACACCCCCACACACAGACCTCATCGATCAATGACCCTTCTGTAACAAGTACTTTTGGGTCTAGGCTACTCGGCTCAGATGGACCTGCAGCCCGGGGCAAGTCGCCTGCACAGGGCACCATCTGCAGACAAAAATCAGGCCTGCCTTTTTTTTCTTTGGGCGGAGGTTTTCTCCACATGGCCAAAGGAGACCAAGTCCCAGCTCCTTTATTTTTTCGAGTCTTGGCTGTCGAGAGCGGGAAGGGGAGTATCAATTGGTTTTTAAGAGGCTAAAGGGGGTTTAGAGGGCGGTGCCTTAGTCTGATTCTGTTGTTTTCTGAGGCTGCCTGTAACACTGCCCGGGGTTCATAAGCAGCCATGTATCCAGGGCCTCCAGGCACATGTTGGGTGCCCAGGCGCCCAGACAACCAGCCTAGCTTTTGATTCCTATCTTATTATTATTATAAGGAAGGTGGAGGTGGAGGCAGAGGAGGAGGAGGTGGAGGGTGAGGGAAGGGAAATACAAGACACATCAGCACATTATCAAACACACATTTCCCGATACCAAAAACCTGGCAACCAGTGTCTGAATAACGGCATACTCACACTCAAACCTTTTTAGTAAGTTTTTACTCATTTCTGGGCGGAAATGCAGCCAGATACATCCATGTCTGGCCGTGATTACAGTCATATAAGTGGTAGTGTGAGTACGCTCTAAGAAACTTATGCCTTTTTTGTTATTTTCTCCCTGCGCCCACAGTACGGAGAAACAAACACACAAAAATGCATCCAACAGCCGCAAATAGCAACACAAAGGGCCTCGCTCCACTATTCAACATTCCTCACGCATGTGGACTCTGTGTGGACATGACAAATAAAACATTTTGAATTTCCTCAGCCCATCTCCAGCTCCAGATGCATTTAGGACATTGTGCAGCGCAGCAAGATGTTAAACCACTAGTACCTTTGCCGTCCGGCAAGTTTTAGCCTAGTCCCAAACTTTTAGGAGGCTGGGCCCGACAACGGCTGCCGTTGATAAATCTGATCGGCGGGCGTCGTTTCGTTTCGCCCTCCTGAAAGGTCGGAGGCCCACTGTTTTCCGAACCGACAAAGGTGCTAGTGCTTTAAAAAGAAAAGAAAACAAAAACAAACAAGGACAAACACCCACCTGACAAACCGGATCACACAAATCCCGACAACAGAACAGGACAACTTCAAAGAACAGAAAAGGAAAAGGCAACAGTTCAAGTCCCAGCCAATACTGCGACAGTGAACATACATCCCAGCGAGAGGCAATCTGTGAGCTAACTCCTAAAACTTGCGCTCTTCACCACACTGTCCTCTCTCTCTCCCTCGCCCTCATATCTCTTCCCTTCCCCACAACCCCTTGCACATCCACTCTTCTTTGCACCCTTCTTCCCCTCCCTACATATCACACATTCTGCTTTCGATCCAACGACACAGCCAAACCGTTCTCTCTCGAGTCCTTCCGTGATGTTTTTCTTTGTTTCTTTGTTTGCCTGAAGTAAACACATCCAAACTGTGCCCACTTTAAGCAAACTGCGCGCATGTGTTTACTTCAGGGCCTGGGTAGCACGGCGTACGTGCACGCGGGTTGCACGTACACGCATACACGTATTTGACACGTACACGCGTACACGTATTTGACACATACGCGCATACACGTACTCCCGTACGCGGGAATACGTAAAAAGAAACAAAAAAAAACAAAAATTACAAAATCGAAATTTTTAAAATTCTGGAAAAATACTTTAAAAAGGTATGTTATGCAAAATGATATTTCAAACAACTTTTGCCTGAGACTCATCTCGGAGTTCTGTACCAAACTCGAGTTAAAAATCAAACACACACAAACACAAATGAATTGAGATAATTATAAATAAAAAAAAAGGAAAAATTCAGAAAATTTTTCAAAAAAATGAAAACACAATGCTGTATGCAGAATCATGATACAAACAACTTTGTTTTTTTTTGTTTTTTTTTAACAGCCTGAAACCGGCCTGCCGTCCCTTATATTTCGGTGCCAGGAATCAGGCCTGGTGTCCCTTACAAAAATTTGGCACTCCTGTTTAAGGGCGAGACATCACCGGTCAAGCCCAGACCTGGACCGCAACACGCCACAAATCCCATGCCGAAAAAGAACCGTCGAGAAAAAGGAGCGGCCAGCACTACAAGATTCTGTCCCCTACTCATCCAAAGTTGCCACCAGCCCCTGCCGAGCCGCCCTGCCACGCCTGCAGCAGGGGTCAGTGCCCACAGGCCCCAACTGCAGGCAAGGACCCCGCAAACATTTTTTGCCTGGGAGTCATCCCCGAATTCCCAACCAAACTCGAGTAAAAATTCAAAAACTGAAAAGAAAAACTTTAAAAAGGTAATATTATCATAATAATTGAGAACTGTTTAAAAGGTTTTTTGTTTTTTAAATTTTTAGTGTTTTAAAGTTTTCTTTAAGGATTTTGATTTTTAACTTGAGCTTGGTCGGGAATTCGGGGATGACTTCCAGGCAAAAGTTGTTTGTATTCTTATTCTACACAACATACTTTTTTCAGATTTTTTGGTCTTCTTTTCTCTTTTCTTTTTTCTTTTTTTTACGTACGCGTATGCAAGATTTTGGGTACGCGTACGCCGGAATACGTGCGCGTACGGGGTGCTACCCAGCTTCAGGCAAACAAACAAAAACACCGAGGAAGCTACGGTGATATTCCTTGATGTGTTCGTTTGAGAACATAAACGCATCCGCATTGCCAATGGGATCGCGGTACCGCCCAAGCACACATGCAAGACACAGCTTTGGCCCCTCACATGAATTCCATCCTTCCTTCCCTGCTTCCCCTCCTGCATTTCCTCCCTCTCCCACTCTTGTCATCTTATTTCATCTCCCTCCATTACACCTCTTATTGCATTTCTCTATGCTGCCCCCCCCCCTCCAATCTTCACCCTTCCTTCCACCATCTTTCCTCTCTCCCCCCTTCGTTCCTCTCCTTTCTGCCTCCCCCTGCCCAACTCACATAGCCAGTCAAACCCATTTTTGCAAACCCATTTCTGCGGCCATGTTCTTCATATTTCCATCTACACCAAACAGGTTCCAACCCATTGGTTGCTTAGCAGAAATCAAGAGAAACAAAGAAAAATAAGAAAAGAAAACAAAAGAAAACAAAAGAAAGAAAAAGAAAAGAAAAGAAAAAAAAATTCATTTCGGAAGAGAAAACACTTCAAAACCGCAATCCATAACGGCGATCCTTTCTTACATCAGGCATGCTGCCGGCGTGCACCATAGCTCTCCTTAGCTGCTGCTCCATACCCATGACATCCTGCCGTGTTGCCTGGAAATGCAAGGGCCAAAAGACAGCAAATTTGGGGAACAGGAAACCCCAAATTAGCCTGATGTGTCAAATGATGAGAAAACCGGATACATCGAACCCCAAATAAGCCGTAAGGGTGTCGAACGAGGGTAACAACTGGGGCTAGAGGAGAGGCGAAAAAAGCCCCATGGGTCAAATATGACATAAATGACGTCCATTGATACAAGTCCTGTACCAAAACACACGAGTCTCGCGAGGGGCAACGGCGCAAACACGCACAAGCATAAACAGGAAATTAAAAAACACAACTCACAGCTGACAATGGTAACTGGCAATCAATGAGCACAACAACTGTGAGTTGTGTGTGTGTGTGTGTGTTTGTATGCTTGCGTGGCTCTGCTCACGTGAGGAAGGGGTATTGATGGAATTCAAATGAAGTGTGTGTGAAAAACCTCAAATAGCGTGTGAACACCGGAAGCTGAAAATGGGGGATACATAGGCAGGTGAAAGGGAACAAAAAAAAAAAAAAAAAAAAAAAAAAAAAAAAAAAAAAAAAGCAATACCAACGGGCCTAGCTCAGTTGGTACACCCATGAACTGTTGAAATACAGACCCAAGTTCGAGTCCAAATGGAACTGGATGAATGAAATCAAATACTTATGAACTACCTGTGGCCAGTCGATCGATGATAATATCTCAAGGCTTTTCTTTCACCCTTTTCAAAACAAAAACAAAAACACACACACACACACAAAAAAAAAAAAAAAAGCAATGGCCTGTTGCTTGAAGAACAATCACAGATGAATGAAGTACATTGAACCTTAATTAGAAAAAAAGAATGGTGATGTTGGAAAGAGGAAGAATTAACCCCTGCTAAAACGCAATAAAAACATAGCCCAAACACCGCCATGCAAGAAAGACAACCCAAAAACCCCAACAAATATACTACATACCAGGGAGACAGAGAATTAACCACCTCCTAAGCCTCGATTAAACTAGATAGATAAGAGGCCAGCTGGCAAGGGGTGAGAGCGAGAGGCAAGGGAGAGAGGCAGACCAGGATAGATAGACAGAGAGATAGATAAGATGAGATACGCAAGATAAGAGTAGAGTAGAGCAGAGTAGGAGAGTGGAAAGAGTGTAGTAGAGCAGAACAGTGTACGGTAGAGAGACTAGAGTAGAGTACACTAGAGCGTAGTAGAAGTAGATTACACAGTAGAGAGTAGAGGAGAGAAGAGTAGCGTAGAGAGCAAAGTAGAGAGCAGAGTGGAGAGTACAGAGTGGAAAAGAGTGTACAGTAGAGTAGAGAGAAGAGTGCAGATTGCATTAGAGTAGAGTAGAGTAGAGAGTAGAGTGCAACTCTACTCTACTCTCTACTCTGCCGTCTGCTCGCTGCTGTCTAGAGCTGAAAGCTCTACTCTACTCTATACTCTGCCGTCTGCTCGCTGCTGTCTGGAGAGCTGGAAGTTGCACCAATGCATTCGAAATGTTCCATCGGTCAGAATGCATCTGCCCATAAAACAGTCCAGACACGTGTGGAAGTGGAGCGCTCCATTTCCGCCATTTTTCATCTCCTCCTCCGTCGTTCTCCATCTCCTCTACTCCCACCTCCCGCCTCCATCGTGACACTTGCCCGTCGGATCAAAATGGAAAATGGCGAGAATGTGTAGCAATGGAGGCGGGAAGGTGGAAGCAGCACAGGAGGGAAGGCGATGGAGATGGAAGCCAGATGGTGGGAGTAGAGGAGGTGGAGGGAAGGTGATGGAGATGAAGAGGGAGGAGGAGGGAAGGTGCGAGGAGGAGGAGGTAGCGGAAGATGAGGAAGTGGAGGAGGAAACAGTCAGGAGCAGGGGGGGGTGTCAGGAGGCAGGGGGAGGGGGTGAGGAGGGCGTGAGGGGGGTGTCAGGAGGGCGAGGGGGGCGGGGAGGGGGAGGGTGGTTGCGTCTTACCTGGGCTATGGCAAGCTGAACTGGCGGCGAGGGAAAGGCTAACAGCAACCAGGAGGGAACGGGGACGTCAACAACAACACCCTTTTCAAACTTTGAATTCGGCGGGCGCCAAGTTGGACGTGGGCAGGCAGAAAAGTTGCCTCGCCGGTAGATAGGCAGATGCGAAAAGTAGAGCCTCGGCCTCCGCAGTCCAAGGCCAAGGGCATATGGCAAAGTTGCCCATGGCTGGGACAGGGGCAAAAGCAGAAGTTCAGGGCATTTCGTCATACCCCTTTTGTTTTAGGGGCATCTGACGAGATACCTCAACTTTTAGGGCCATTTCGACAATTTTCCCTACTAAAACAAAACAAAAAAAAAAAAAATTCCCCCCCTTTGCCGCCCCTCAACAACCACCTACGAGCCACCTGTCCATCCACTTTGATTCCTCCCCCACCCACCCCCCCCTTTCCTACCCCTCTTCCTTCACACCCAGAGACCATGCCACTCTCTTCCCATCCCCTGAACCCATCCTCTTTCCATTTGCCCAACAACCACCTCGCGCTCTCAACATCCATTCCAACTCCTTTCTAAGGGATAATTGGTGGAAGGTGGCCCACGCCGAAACCTTTTTGGTAAAGGGCGCCCAAACCTTTTCCGGTCAGTAAAAAGCGCCCACGGGCAACAGGGGCCGTCAAATGCAGAAATCTGGCGGTCGAGATCGGGTCCCAAACCCTGGGCACCTTCCAACCGGATCGTGAACCCGGCGATGTATCTACGCCAGGGTCGTTTTCCGGTAGGCGTATCCCGCCACACGGGAAAGGTTTGGGCGCCCTTTACCCAAAAGGTTTTGGCGTGGGCCCCTTCCACCAATTATCCCCCCTCTTTAAACCACCAGTTCACACGACCCTATCCTGCTGACAAGCCTACCTTCCAAGGATCGCCAGCCTGCAACTGTCCCCTTTTCAACGTGGCCTGCCGCTTTTCCTACCGCCCCAGGCCCGCAACAAAATGATAGCTTTTATCGCCTATGCCGGTAAGAGGACTACTTAGGTTCGTGTGAACGTGTGGTTTGAACCACCAGTACATCGATAAGAGGATTAGACATTATACCTTACCTTCACGACATTATAGCTCGGTCGACGGGTAAAACGTGGTGGTGTCACAGCTGACTTATACCTTACCTTCATGACATTATAGCGAAGTTGATGAGTGACTTCCAACTCATGCCCCGTCTCCAGACAGCTCGGTCGATGGGTCGGAAAGCTCCTCGTCAGAAATCTTGCCAAATCATCACCCTCCAGATGGTACCGATACCCTCCGTCATTGTCGAAGCCAACCAGCACCACGTTTATCTCCATCGGTACTTGAAGAGGAATCTGAGAGAGAATCACCACCGTACATGATCATCAGCCAGAAGCAGCAACAAAGAGAGACAGAGCGGGAAGGGGAGATGGGGAGGTTCGTTTATTGGTTGGTTAGTTGAGGGGGGTGTTTGTGGGGGAGGGGGTAAAAGCGGAAAACGAAGATTAGAGAAAGCCTGAAAGGACCAAAAACAAATTTTGCACTGTATTGCTTTGAGGGAAGACTGGTGGTATCTTGATCAATTTTATAAAAGACCAGAAAACAGAGATCTAAATTTTGAAATTGCCATTAAAAAAAAAAAAAAAAAAAAAAAAAAGAGGAACAAATTCCGAACAATATGACATCACCAACAACATAAAGGGTGCATCTCGTTTCCCGATTAAACATTATTCCCATTCAGAACGGAAATATAAATAACTCTCAATTCGGGGCGTAAGCATAATTCCTTTTTGGGGACATAAGCCCTCCTCCCTCCTTCCC